CTTTATTATGGTATAGTATTTAAATATATGCCTGAGAAACACATAATATTGGCCCTTTAATGAAGGATTTAACACCCATCAACATGTCATCCTATGAAAATGTACATGCTCATGCTTTAAAAATAAAAAAAGTGATAAAAGAGCCACAAAGTACTGTTAAATTTGTTAGGGAACCACTATACATCAAGTATGTAGAAGGAGAAATGCAATGTTTCCATTCATCCAACTTGTTTTACTCACTTTTTCCTTTTCAGGTCATGAGAAGTTGAGTATACCCTGAACAGGTTACAAGTCCATGAAAGGACCACAAACAGACAAATGAGACAAACATCCGTTCACACTTTCACTCACACCAGGTTTTATTTATTTTTTCAATTATGAAAATGAAAAAGAAACAGCATTCTGAAGGAAACCCCCCATGAGGGAAGACCTGAGGTAAAACTGTTCTGATAAAACACTCACCGTGTTCATCTAGTTCAAACTTCTCAATGATCCTTTCTGCATCAGCCAGAGAGGCTTTCTCTTTCTGCTCCTTCATCAGGAAGTCCACCAGATTCTGGGCACTCATGAAGCCCGTGGTCTTAGCGTACGCCCCATAGATGACGTCGATTTCCTCACGTTGGGTCAGCAGATTGTAAAAATGTTCAATCTCTTTCCCAGCCAGGTATCCTGAGTTTGACGTGTCACATTTCTGCGAGGTGGAAATGGTAATGAATAACACTTGATTAGTCCAAACTAAAACCAAAGGAACATTATTAAAAGGTGTTAAAAGGACTTTAAGGTGGCGGGGTTTTCTCACACTTAGTTGAAAATCAGTATAGGAACAAATCCCAGATGTAATGAGGCATATATTAAAAAAACGATAAAATATTTCCACATATAGACGTGAATCTCGCTAATCACTCTTTTCGTAACTACATTACAATGATTTTTAGTTAGAACTCTGACCTCAGAACATCTATAATGAGATTTGTCTGAATGGATAAAAGGGATTTCCCTTTTAGATAATGAGAGTTTGAATCCAAGATTGTATTTGACATTTCATTTTTCCAAATTGAACTGAATACACCACCACTTCTGTATTTAATGTTGCAACACAGTAAAGCTTTCACCGAGTTATTGCCAGTCCTCACCAGAGTTAAAACGTTTTCCATCATGGAGAACACGAGGAGCTGAAATGTGGTTTTTATTTCTGTCCAAGTTTTCCTGCAACTGCTATGCAGAATTGTCCCATTATCCTCTCCTGTACTCCATCGAGGACATGTTAAGTTTTGTTTGTGAACGTAACTCGATCGCAGTGATCATGTGGTTTTATCAGGTATTGATACAGTAAGTGATGGATACTGATGAAATGTCATCTGAGTGATCAGACCAGATGTTCAGTTTAAGCTTGTGTCTTTTCCCTTTACTTACAGTTTCTATTCCAGATTGAATTTAATGAAAGAAAATTACATCACATATTTGACAACCATTGAAAAACTGGAAAATTTCAGCCCATTTTTGCTCATTGGTGACTCAGATTTTAGAGGATGCTGATTTTTTTTGCTTTTATCACATCAACTTTTTAAAT